AGAGAGAGAGAGAGAGAGAGAGAGAGAGAGAGAGAGAGAGAGAGAGAGAGAGAGATAGAGAAGAGAGAGAGAGAAATGATATACGTTTAATTTTATTTTTGCTGCTGTTTGCAATCATGCTCAAACATGCACATCTGTACGTGTATCGTCTGTAAGCCGAATAAAAATCTCTTTTGTCCATATGAACAACTACTTAGCCTCTCGCTGATATTTCTACATGTAATTTGCTATATGGTTGAAAACGCACTATTCTGCTCGATTTGAAATGTTTTACAACAGACACAAAGAAGGATAGAAGCAAAAATCAAATTTCTATGTTGTTTATTATAAAGTACGAAATGCTTCTATGGAACATTATTTCGACTGCGACAAAATGCACATAAAAGGCGACCGAAACGAGATCGACAATTTAATCATTTTCACACCCAATCATCATCACAAAAATAAATAACAACAATATTACAATATTGATTTATAAATGTAATGTAATCATATTCACTTCTCTCTTAAAAATTCCACTTTTCTCGGGTTAAATTTAGGTTTTGTTCTATGTTTGTTGAAATTTCGTTCATTTTCTTGCTTTTGTTTTTTTTTTTACTTTGCTTTTTTTGTTTTTTTCCCTTGTTGTTCTTGTGCTGCGGATGCATTTAACTTTCATATTTTAAAAGAGGAACAAAATAGAAGTGACAAAAAAGGGAAATATTGTTTTTTGTTGTTGTTTTGTTGTTGTTGTGTGTTGTGGTTGTTTTCTATTTAGAATTATTAGATTAGCTTAAAAAATTTAGCTGGATGTTTGAAATTTGTTGCATGGTTGCTGAATAATCGACGTTTTTCTAGCTGGAACGGTTTCGGGTGTTGGGATCGCCTCTCCGATTGGTTTATTGGCAAATAATGATTTTGTACCGCCACCTTTTTGTTTGGCCATTTGATAATCGCCCGAATCAAAGTACTTTTGACCTTTACCTTTTTGCAATAGACGCTTTTGCAAAAATGCGGAATGACCACCAGGCCGTCCGATTCCTGGACCACCAACACCACCACCAGTACTGTATTTGGCTTTGAGTTTTTCCTCTTCCATCTTTTCAATTTCGGCCGCATTTGGAACTGGTTCGGGTGCAGCAAATGATGATGATTCTTCTGATTGATTGGCGCTCATTTTGTTGTTGTTGCTTTATTTGTTTTGTTTTTTTTTTTTTTTTAATTCGATAACAGTTGGCTGATGCTACACAGTGTGCACACAGAAGGTGCAACAAAAAATTAGAGAAAAATGAAGAAAAAAAGAGTAAAAAAATGCATTAGCAAACGATTCGCTCAAAATATTCTACATAAACGTTGTAAATGTAATGTCGTCGTTGTCGTTGTCAAGGAAAAAAGAGACTCTCTTTCTCTAACTCTAGTATGCTTATTAGAAGAAAAATTTGCATTCAATTGAAACATTTAACAAGTTCAACAAATACTTACTGTGTCTCTCGTTCGACTGATTTGTTTTTGTTTGAAATTTGCGTGTTTTTTTTTTTCTTTATTATTATTATTAGATGTAAGATGGCTTCTTGAATTGAAACTGCGAATAGAGCGAATGCCGTCAAAACTGCATTACAAGTAAATTGAAGCTCCACAGTGAAGCTCAGTATGGGAAAAAAATTCAACCAATGACAAGAGAAACGAAAAACACGGCGACAGCACGAATATATTGAGGGAATAAAAAAAGGCGCACATACAAATATACGCACACACCAACCGTCACGAGTGTGAGCGATACAAACACATACGTATTATCGACAACGAGCACACTAAATCAATGACACACACATAAGCACACATATGCGAAATTATTTTTAACGTATTTTGAGTTGTACACACACATTGAGGACTTCTTCCGAAAGGGAGAGTGCTAAAAGCTCCTGTTCCAACTGACATATTCACATACACACTTCAAAATACATAACCTCAAATCGTTTGACAGCTGAGCAAGAGAAACGTGTGTGCGAATTTCAATGCATTGTTTTGTTTAGTAAAATCATACGTGAGGAACGGAAATTTTTCGATTCTGCGAAACTTTCAACAAATTCATTCAGGATGGATGACGGACGATTTGATGATGCCGAAGAGGATGTCACTGGGCCAGTAATTCCACAGCAAAAAGTAGCTGCACCACAAACAGTGAGTTTTTTAAACGATGAAACAGAGAAATTGAGTGGATAAACGGGATCATTTTAATGGGTTGATGAAATTGTTGTTCTCGTTTCTAGGAGCGCATTGTGGAAAAATTGACCAAAATGAGCGTTGAAAGTGCATTGTTCAGTACGGAGCACAGTCGCAAAGAGGAAAATGCTAATTATGACTATGATGATGAGGAATACACAAGTGACAGTGATGACGAAGACTATTATGAATTAGTTTCGGCCAGTTACCAAAAGAACAATCAACAGATCAGCAGTGGCGGTGCGTCTGTGGCGCATACGAATGCACAAACGTCCAGTAATAAAGTGAGCAGCTTTCAACCATCCGATAAGCTCTTCAAAAAGTACACAAATAAAATCAATGTGGAAAAATATGAGGGCCCACAATTGCCAAATAGTGCGATAAACACTTTGCTGGAGAGCAATCGTAAGGCAGAGGCAGACCGATACCGAGCAAAAGATAAACATGATCGTGCAACGGCTGAACAAGTGATGGATCCACGAACGCGAATGATTCTATTCAAGTTGCTCAACCGTGGTCTAATCACCGAAATTAACGGTTGCATATCGACGGGCAAAGAAGCCAATGTGTATCATGCAACATCAAAAACTGATGCAGAGTATGCCATTAAAATCTATAAAACATCAATTTTAGTGTTCAAGGATCGTGATAAGTATGTGTCGGGAGAGTTTCGTTTTCGCAGCGGCTATTGTCGTCACAATCCACGTAAAATGGTACGCACATGGGCTGAAAAAGAGATGCGTAATTTGCTTCGTATGAAAAATGCGGGCCTCAATGTGCCCGAACCGATTTTATTGCGGAGTCACGTATTGGTCATGACATTCTGTGGAAAAAATGGTTGGCCAGCACCCAAACTGAAAGATGTCGACATTTCAACAACAAAGGCTCGTGAACTGTACCATGATTGTGTGATCATGATGTGGAACATATTCAACAAATGTAAATTGGTGCATGCCGATTTGTCGGAATTCAATTTGCTGTATCACGATGGGAAAATTGTCGTTATCGATGTGTCACAGTCGGTGGAGCATGATCATCCGCATGCATTGGAATTTCTGCGCAAGGATTGTACAAATATTACGGATTTTTTCGCAAAGAAAGATGTCGCCACAATGACTGTACGTGAATTGTTCACATTCATTACCGATCCAAATATTACAGAAGGCAATATGGAAAACTATTTGGAACAAATGGTGGAAAAAATCGGCGATCGAAACATCAATGAGCTGTCGGAACAGGAAAAAATCGAGGAAGAAGTCTTCAAACGGGCTTATATTCCGAAACGTTTGGACGAAGTATGGAACGGGTTCTTTTTTTCTTGTTTCTTCTCTTTTTTTTGGAAGGACAATTTGTTCTCTTATTCCTTCTTTTTTCTGAAGAATTTTTTTTTTCTCCTAAAAAAATTCACTTTCATTGCATATAATAAATTCAAATAATATTTCATTCATGTCGTTAGGTTGTTGACGTCGAACGTGATATCATTAAGGCCAAAGGGGGTGCTGGTGGTGATTTAGTTTACAAGACAATTACGGGCCTCAAATCAGATTTGACGGTTGAATCAAAACCAGTTCTGTTACAGAACGACGATAATTCGCACGAAAATATCGAACAACAAGAGCAAGGTGTGTAAGACTAGTAGATACCGTATACTCTAGACATTTCCGTACAAAAATATATATTGTTTTGTTATTCGTCTTTGAATAAATTTTGCATTAACGGGGTGTGACTTTATGATTATTGTTCTAGACATCGACTCCGATGAAGATTCACCGTCAGACGATAGCAGTAGTAATAGTGAAGCAGACGGTGAGAGCCGATTCAAAGACAGTGCGCGGCCCAAGGATGAATCCATCGAAGACAAAAAACTACGAAAAAAAGCCGTCAAAGATGCAAAAGCTGAAAAGCGAAAAAATAAATTGCCCAAACATTTGAAGAAACGCAAAGAAAAACAAGGGACGAAAAAGAAATAATCAGAAAAAAAACTACCACACACTAAATACGCAAACATGTTTATAAAATAAATCACAGATCTTGATCTGAACAACAGCAAATATGTACATAATTTTTCACCTGGTGCTAGGATTAATGCGATTCATCAAATAAATAAAGAGTGTTAATATTCTCATCGCACGAGAGGAAGGGAGAATATTTTATACGTATATTTTAAACAGCTAAAATATATGTCTTTGTTTATCCAAAATTTACTGAATTTATGGACAATAATGGTCACCTGTTATTTCGCTGTGATATTCTCACATTTTGTTCAAAACCAACCCAGAAAAAAATAATATAAAGCGAAAACCATCGTTTCACACGTTTTGTTTTGCTCCTATAATAGACAAAAAATACATTTTGTATTATATTTTAACTCGGCGTCAAAGGGAATAGAAGATCAAACATATGGTTCATGGAACCAGTTCATTTGGTTTGGTTTTTGTTTTCTCTCGAATTATTTTTTATTTGTAAAACGCTCGTTGTAACTTTTACCTTTCAACGGATGCTCATAACTGCGTCAAACCCAAAATTCCGATTCTCATACAACTTTTCATGATTCTCTTTATTTCGTCTGGGAGCTAAAACATAAACAAACTCGTATTTTCTCGTTGTCCCACAATAAATGGAGAAAATTACGAGATGAAGAGAAACAAAAATGTTCATTGACGCAATTTGTTTTATTCACTCTAAAATCTAAAGTATAAATGAAAGAGAGAAAAAAAATGTCTACATCTAAGCTACTTTATCAATTTAGTTTAAATATTTTGTTGCGTATAAAAATAATATGATTCGTTTTGTTCTAATGAGAAAACAATTTGTTTGTTGTTTTTATTTTATCACAGTGTGTGTGTGTGTTTGTGTAAAGCAAGCAAATTGGCTTATTTAAAATAGAGAAATCTCCAACACTGAGCTTAACTCTCTAATAAATAGAAAAAAAAAATTCATTTACAATTTGGTTATATCGTATGAACAAGAAAAAAAAAAATAGAACCCACACAACGAAAAAACCTATCCAAAAACGATTGACAAATGCCAATTACTGAGCGTTTAATAGACATATTCCAATAAATGAACCGAACACTTCAATAAATGGTGATTGGTATTTCCACTATTTCACTGACAAATGTAAATAAACGGGCAAATAATTGACATTTCCAATAATTTGAGTTTAAGTTTTTTTTTAGTGCAAATGGATTGTCTTCACTCTTAATTGGAATGTTACATATAACGAAAAAAAAATTGTTTTAAATTTCTAAGTCCCAATATCATAGAATGTTTCTTACATCATTAAAAAAATAATTTCATAAATACATGCGTGCCTAAAAATCTACGACTACAGCTACGTATATTTCAGTACTCTACAGTATATACATATCTGGAACACAAATTATTATCTGTGCTTCTTCAAAAAAAAAAACAATCGGCATATAATAATGATTCGTGTGTTATTGTTGTTGTGTTCAGTTGTATTTTTTTCAGTTGCTATGTCTCCTCTGGAATGCATAAAATGTGTTTGGTATGTTTTGTAAAGAGTGATTCGGGGCACAGTGTGTTTAGCTCAGAATACGACGTTTCAACGATAAGTACAAAATTGTGCGAAACACAACGATGTACATCACAAGGAAAGCGATTTCATTCCATAGATACACTTTTTCGATGCGAAGGAAACGTAGCAATACTTTTGGGTCATCAAAGTGACAATACACATCGCTACATTCTAATTGAGCTCGATCGTATCCAAAGACAGATAACACCAACGATACCACACCAACGCGTACAAATGACAACTTCATAATGGCATACATAACAATTGGAATATCGGCGGCAAAATCAAATCCGTAAATCGCCAAACCAAGCAACGGTGCAATTAATAGCGGCCCAACAACACTTCCGTTCTAAAATCCAAAATTGAGAAATAAGCAATTTTAATTAGCAACAACAACGGAAAGAAAAAAACTGGTTAAATGAAATTAAAGAAGAAAACATAACAAATGAGTCTTTTGTATGTGCAATACAAAATGTGTACTTACAGTTATGCTGAATGTTGCACCAATAGCCAAGCCCATACCTTCAGCCACAAACGATACAATCAAACCAACGACAGCATAGAGTCCGAATCGAAAGTATTCAACTGGTAATCCGCTCATTCCATAGGTCAATGCCAAAAATATCAAATTGAATAAGATCTGTTTGCGTAGAGTGGAATAAAACATGTTGTATAAGTTACAATACAAGAATCTGAATTAAATGAATTGTCGGAAGAATTCTTTATAGATAGCAGAGTTCGCAAGCCCTAGAATCTATCAGATACTAGTCTCAGTCAAAATACCGGAATCTATTATTCAATATGCATTATATACATATGATAAGAGATGGATTTTTTTTCTTTCGAAATTCATTATTTCATTTTGTGTCGAACGAATTGCGTTCTAAATATACATTTCGGTCAATTGTTTTTTTTTTCGTGTTTCTTATTCAGACATTGTGCATTCCGCATTAAATTCGTAATCAAATAAAACAACAACGAGAAAAACGATGGACGAACATGCACGAGACAGAAAAAGAGAGAATATTTACCTGAAATGGAATCCGAGATAAGGTCAGTGCAGTGTAGTATGGCAACAAATTGTACCAGCGATTGAAACACTCCTTTTTCAGTAGCTTCACCTCACTTGGATCTGCAAAAAAGTGTGACACACAATATGTTCTTAGAAACATTCCTCAATTACTGAATCGTTTTTCGATTTTTTTTTCATTTCTTATTGGAATTACTAATTCTGCGGTGACTTACATGCCAATATAGGAACTATGATTTGTGTATATGCCAAGAAGAAGATTATTCCGATGCAGAATTTCAAGTGATCAAACATTCGTTCACCGTCGTTAGCCGCTTTGAAAAAGATCATACCTGAAAAAAGGCAATCAATGTGGTCAAGCGGTTTTTAATACGCGTCTTCTGGCTACAATTGAACTTTGAAACAATAACAACAACAACAACAATTAAAACCACAAACCATTTATCTACCGAAAAATCTCTACGCCAGAAATTATATAAAATGTTTTTTCTTTTGTTTGTTTGTTGTTGCTGTGGAATAATTGTTGTTTTTTTCCCATTTCAATTTACTCACCGAAAATGACGCCACAGAACACATGATGGAATAGTTGAATGAGTAGTACCGATTTGTTGCGCCAAATTTTCAACATCATTATGGCAAATAAAACGGAGAATTGTCGAAAACCCGACACGGCATGATCGTTTTGCATGAATTTTGTTAAAGCCTTCATTTTCTCCAGCAGAGCGCCACTCTTCGATTTTCGTTTTTCCAGAAACATTGATGTAACAGCATTTTTCATATTGATCGGCGCATCAACGGGGCACATTTGATTGATTGGTATTTCGGTGGCAGTATCAAGGCAACAAACTAATTTCCCATTTTGTGTTTCACGTGAGAGCGCCGAAACGATCGTACCATCGTCACCGTCACACAATTCAATGATATAATCCGATGGATTGTAATGCGTTGGGCACTTTAAATGGATTTTACTTAAAAATGGCACTAATACAGTTGGTCCACCCTGATAGACGCATTGACCGCGTGCCAACACAAATATATGATCGAATAGGGCGAATGTGGTTGCTGACGGTTGATGAATGGTGCATACGACCGTTTTATTTTGTTTTGCCAGATTTTTTAATAAACGAACACATTGCGCAGCTGTCACTTCATCCAAACCAGAGGTGGGTTCGTCGAGGAAGAAAATTGTTGGGTTTGCAACAAGTTCGAGTGCGATTGATAAGCGCCGTCGTTCACCGCCACTCAATTGATTGGCAAAGTTACGTCGACGATGATTTAGGTTCAAATTTTTTAAAATATCATCAATAACCGACTCATGATCAACACCTGGCTTCAACTTTAGATTGCATGCCATTTGCATCAGCTCAATGACACTCAGGTATGGCTGGTGATAATCCTCTTGTGTCAAAAAGCATGACGATTTCCGATTTCGGATTATATTTCCGCTAACACCAGACGTTCTAAAAGTTAGTAATCCAATCGCAGAGGAAAAGGAGTAGAGATAAAATAAATGGAACTCCTTAATAAATCATATGAAAATATTAGCACCTGAAATGAGCACACACAAAAAAAAAAAACAAGTGGATAAAATGGAATTTTACCTTAAGCCAGACAATGCATTAAGGAGACTTGATTTTCCAGCTCCACTCGGACCCATTATAGCACTTAACTGTCCATTTTTGAATACACCGCTCACACCTTGCAATAGGCATTTTTTCTTCGAGTCAGTGACTGCAATTAAAAAATGATGGAACGTTAAATTCATGCGTTTTACATATTTATTTCGCATATCGCCCACAACTATTAACTCATATTTAGTCCAATGAAAATGAAATTCAAATTATTCGGATGGGTTGAAATAAATTGGCTTCGCCCCATAATTCTTACGTGATTAAAAATGTGCAAATTAATGCATAACCGATATAAATCTAAAAAAAGAATAAATAAAAACCAGCCAGTAGCTGCTTCGTAAATAAATGCTATGATGCTACTGCTCATGCAATAAATGAGAATCATAAAAGCGGAGAGTCATATTGGAAAGATTGGAAGAAGAACAAACAGAACAAACAAACGTAAATGAATAGAGGAGAAGATTTAAGATTAATTCATGTAATAAATATGTATTCATTATATTTTTATATCACGTTTATTTTTGTCTTCTTCTCTCGAATTCTTATAAATTCAAGCCGTCAATGTAACTGGTTTTTTGTTTTTGTTGTCGAACGTGCCAAAATTATGTCATACAATCGACATGTGCGTGACTATAAGATCGCAGTGTATGGGCTTTTGTTTTTGTGTTTAAGCTTTGTGAATAAATTTCGTATGTGTGAAAAACAATTCTTTTGTTCTGAAATAGAAAAATCCATACTTTTTTCAAACTGGAAAGAGTGTGAACTAAATCCCGCTTTGTTCAAGGTTGATTTAATTGCTGAAGATTGTTTCGAATCAGAAAAAAAAAAATTGATGTATCTGACCCAATCAGGAATTAGAGTAAATATCGGCACCGTAACGTATGTGTAAATCAATCTCATTGACTGAAGAACCAGCGCAAAACCCGACAATATTAAAACAGTTAATTTATGCATAAGATGAGCTTAAATTAGTTCTCAAATCCTGTAGGGATGATCGATGTTTCGAACTTGTTTGTGGATTACGAAAACAGTTGACGCTTTTCCCATACACACACATGCCAAATATAAATGTCCAAAGAGATCTTGAGCGTCTTCAAATTGACAAAAAAAAAACTAAACCATAGGGTTGTAAATATTTATGATTTACGCTTTGTTGAAGTACACGAAATATATTGGAAACACAAAGAAATATTTAAAACATTTCTTTGTTTTTTCCACGTGTGGACGAACTGTGGTGATGATATAGTAACAGGTTTTGGGATAAATTTAAGTAGAAATCTATTTTTAATCCTGCATTGGAATCGGAAAAAAGAAATGTTTAAAAATATAAACGAAATCAAACGTCATAAAATCTATATTGCGTAAAACTCTGCACACCGAATGACGTCCAACTAATAAAATGATAATTCTACCCCAAAAAAAAAATATTAGCACATTTGGCTTTTGATCAGATCGTTTGAATTTGGTTTTCACCGTTTCTTAACTGGTCCTCTTTCAATGACATTTGCCAGACGTTTTTTTTCGTCGTCTTCTTCTTTTGTATTTCGAATGGACGACGACGATACACGCATTTGAATATTCGGCAATAATAAACATAAAAATCAAAGAACACCACCGTTTTTTTACCGTTTTTTTGGTTCATCAATAAAAAAAAATCACTTTCGATCCAAACAAGGAAGGAAATATGTCACACAGACACACACGCACACACACACGCACGAATTCCATTTGAAGATTTAACAATCGAGTTGTTTGTGTTTAGATATTTTCCACAATTATGTTTTCATCTGAAAGACACGTACAAATTCATAATAATTTTGCCCAACTTTCATTTGTTTGAATCATATGAACGAACACAAACGACACAAAATGACAATTACGAATGATAATGTTCACGTTATGTGTCCACCGTCAGACACAAAGACATAGACAGAGAGAGTGAGAGAGAGAGAGAAAAGAGAAAATCGATTCGATAATAATAATTAAGTTTGCAGAAAAATATGAAGTTATGTAAAAAAATAATAATGAATGAAGAAAGATAAAAGAAACAAGTAACAATACGTGAAAAATGGCCTTACCTGAATGTGAGTTCTCTTTAACGGTATAGACAACATCTTGAAATTCAACGTCTTTCGACATATTTACAATTGTTTTCAAATCACTACTAATAATTTCAGAAAAAGTTATTATTCAATCGATGCCACAATTCACAATCACTTCGTAATTTCGTTTTCAATCTGTTCTTTAACTGTAATCTTTTTTTTTCTTGAAACAGTCGAATTGTACGTATGAGTTTTTTTTCTTCTAGTATTTATGTCTATATAATCAATTGCATGGGCCGTTTGTAATGATGACACTCGATAATCTTGGAACCCATTCAGTTTAATCTGCAACGAGAAAAAAAAACAACAAAATTCACAATAAATCAATAAATCACTTTCATTCAGTTGTGCTCCGTTTGATGAACGTGAATAATGTAAAAATTTACACATGGAATAAAATGCTTACAAATTTTTAACGGATTTTTTGTTCTGCGATATTTATTGAAATTTTTGATCACAAATCGTTTTTACTGACTTTTCAAGCTAATCTGATTTCTATTCATTTTTGTTCACCATTCAATTCCGTTGTGTATTTCATTGTTAGTTTACGCTTTCTAACAACAACAACGGAAAAAAATTCAAGTTCATGGGCTTTTTTTCTCGAAAAGTTTGGTTTTAACACTATTTTAATTTTGTCACTTTGCCGTAGATGTTGTGCGATGAACAAGCGGCAGCAGAATGAATTAATGGAAGAGCTGATATGCGAAAATCGTTCAATTTAAATGCTGGATTAATGAAAACTGAAACCAGTTCCATATGGTGATTCAGTCAAATCATAGAGAGAGAAAAAAAGCGAACGCACACAGGCAGACAGCCACTTACGTTTGGGGTACGATTGAGAGCCGAAAAAAACCGTAAACAGTGAGACAGAATCATTTCTTGAAAGTCACATTTTGCTCGGAATCGTATTGGTTTATCGCATATTCGGGGCTCTGGCGCTGATCAATGTGTATGACTCGTTTCCGAATCGCACGTCATTCGACTTAATCGAATTTGTGGTTTTTATTTGGATTTTGGTACGGCCACAAAAACCACACAGCGAAACAGAGAGAGAGAGAGAGAAAAAAGTTTCCAACGTTTTATCAATTCCCATAGTTTATACTTTGATCACATTAGTTACCGAAAGAAGATACCTTTTAGTGGCGGTGACCACAAAATGCGTTTTTTTTCGGGGGATTTCTTGGTCATCGGCTAAAAGCATTCAGGGAATAACGTTGATTTTTCTTATCTTTTTCTGTTTGTTTTGAAAAATTTGGAACGTACATATGGATCCACTTTCGTTCAGTCTCTGTTTTGAGCTTTCCAATTAGTTCGATGATAAATTATTAGAATCGTTTCGAATCGAACATAAATGTTGTTTATTTTCCCCCCATAAAAACTAAGAACACTGCGCTAAAAGCTTGCGAAATGCTTTGTATGCTAATCAAATGGTGTTTATAAAAAGAATCGCAGACAGATTGTGTGTTTGTCAACGTCAAAGGGGAGTAATTAATGAACATCAATAAATTTTTTAATGCCAAAATGAGTTAAAACGATCGTGAAGTCTTCGAAGTGTGCTAATTGTGTGTTTGGAAAGCGTGCATTTGTCGGTTTAGCGTGATGCTTCTGTTCATGATGATCATTCAATTCGATATGTGGTCTGTTGTTGTTGTTGTTGCTGTTCATTTTTTTGTTCGCTCCCTCACGAATGAGTTGGTTGGCACCGGGTCAGAGCGCACATTCAATGGCTTATGAAAATGAACAACAGACGCGATACAATATATAAAAATTCAATGTTTATTATTAAAATAAAGTATTATCTAGTATTCCATTAGTATGATCTCTTCAGACATACAATAAACTTGACCGAAAAATAAAAAAATCGAAGCAACAGCAACGGCATAATGACAGTGATTTATGTGCGGTTTTTCGTTGTTGCCTTTCCACTGCGTCCCGGTGAAAACCGATTAGCGTTGATTGAACGAAAGTATAAGATTTGCAAAACGAGACCATCGTTATTTCTATAAATGATGAAAACGACGTCAACGGTGATCTTTAGAGCTGGAGGGCAATGTGCTCGAAGGAATAAAGTGGAATAAAGTCTAGAACCATTATTTAAGTATGAGAACAATATTCGATCATTTTGCATACTGATTTGAACTTTACTTTTCATTCAAAATCTGAAGAAAAAAAAACTGTTATTTTTTCACTTTTTTGCATTGTAAATGTCATCGGTTGAATGAATACATCCAGATTTATGTGGATGCCATTTATGGCAGTTGCATTGTCCGGTACAATGCGTCACAACCGTACATTTGATACGATCATTAGTGGTTATCGGAGACGACGAAGAGATAAGAAGAAGAAAAGAGATGAAAAAAAGCACTACAACAAAATTCATAGTTCTTTTACAACTCTCCGGTAAATTTCCAAAAACACGCTCGCGCTACGATCAAAACTTGCCGAAATGTGAATAATTTCGTTTCTTGGAGTCCAACTTGTCCGTTTTTATTCATTCAAAAATACCGATTATGAATAGATTTTCGATGGTTTTACAATCAATGTTGTGCGTCACACACGTGTCTATGCGGTTAATTTTTGACTATCACCTTTTTTTCTACGTTGGACACTGGAAGCGATATTCCAATGAAGAGCAAAAAAAGAATAGCGAGAAGAAATCATCGTTTTAATTATTTTGAAGGGTTCGATCCAGTTGCGTAGCCATTTATCAGGTTGGATTTGATGTTTTGAAAAAATTGCGATGTTCACATGCGGGCCAGAGAATACAATGCAAAGAACACAATTACGTAATAATTTTGATGTGAGCCCATTGCGCACATACGATTTCATATCAAGATTTAAAAGTGTTTCTAAGCAACGTCGCGCGCAGATTGTTGTGTTTAGCATCGAGACGAAATCCTAGCCTCAACGCTCATACAACACTCAATGTCAGTTTTGCGCCTATTTCACACCATTCGTGACTGTGCACAAACAATTACATATATGATTCGATTTTTTTCCGCTACCTCGCTTCATACCTTTTGTTCATTTGGCACGAGAATCAAATATGGAATGTATTTTAATCTCTTAGCATCATCAACAGCATGATTTCATATTTGATTTAAAAAAATGTAGCCACATATTGCGCTTCATTGTTTTCCATTGTGGTACCTTCTTTTTCATTTGACCGTTCTAAATGATGTAGAAAACGTTCTAAATGGTGAGAAGCAATGTACTTTTGTATATGTATACAAATCAAGTCATGGCTTGAATTCATCATGGAAATTGGTTATTGGTGCTTCAATATGGTTGAGTCATTCTGTTTTTATCGTTCTCAAACTAAAATTACTGAGTACGTTACGGTTAATGGGAATATAAACAGACACTATAATATCAAATCTGGCGAGTGTCTCTTGAATTACCTGTCAAAAATGAAACGGTCGATGACTTATTGAGACCGAAAATGCGATGAAATATCGTTGTCATCCATTGAACTTTTCATAATTAATTCAATTGAGAATGACATGCGAAACACAAATATACTAGTGTAATCGTTACATGACTCGTTAACCGGACTGAGTGAAAAAGAATTGATCAAATGCTGATGACATCTCTCAGGTTAACATTCGTCATTCAAAATTTGATTTGTTTTTTTGTTTCGAATAAAACAGAAAATTTTTTTTGGAAATTTGAAAAAAAAATGTGCGAGACAAATTTATTATATCGTGATTGAGTTTATGTGTGTGTCGCATTAATTTGTAGTCAAATGAATGACCATCAATTATCGCAACAGAGATGCTTAGTGTGTCAAAAAGCTAAAAAAAAAAATGTTTTATATCAATGTCAAGGGTGATTGAAACTATTTATATGGTCGCAATTTTGTTGTGAAGGCGCGATAGGAAAATAGCGTGGTTTATCAGCTCGCGACGATAACCCAGGAAGAAACAGTAATAGCAACGGGATAAACACACATTGCCTAGGTCATCACAACTAATATGAACTTGGCCCAGTAATGGGAACTTATCTCTCGACAATGAATGAATTTCGCTAGACTTTCGATTTCGGACCAAATAACCATTTCTCATCATGATTTTTTTTTCTAACGCGGAAACATTTTATTATTTTGTAATTGCATAAGTCTCTTAAACTTGTGCCAAGTATGTATTCGAATCTCTTTGCGATGAATTATTATAGTTTTTTTTTTGTTCCGAGTTTGATTCATCACTATATTTCAATTGCTGAGTCGCGTGCTACGAAGCTAATAGGGAAAAAAGTGTTTTATTTAATACAATTGAATTGTTTTGTGTACACAATACAATACGTGCACAGCAAAAAATGTTGAATCATTCAAAGTTCTGCAGGCGCCCACCTAATCCCATTCCAACGAAATCATTTCAAATACACCAATATGTGTAGCGCTGAGATTGGAGAAAAAATTCACATTTGCAAAGAAAAAACGAATATTTTAAGTAATCAAAATGTATGGCGATTAAAATGATTGATTACGATTCAATGATTCAACAAGTTCAGTGCAAATGGAGTGATCAATTGTATCACTCAGAACAATACGATATTAACAAATAAAAATCATGAAATGTGGAATGTGGATTGTGAAAAAGTTCATACGCAAAAGCGTCTCTTGAAACTATTTTACTTCCGATCAGTAATGTTATTCCTATACGGCTTGTGTCCATTGACATTTTAGGGGACGCTTCGTGTATGAACTCTTTTACGCTCAGAATTCTTTTGTTATTTGACAATTCCGTTATGTTCTATAGAATAGAATAGCCGATTCAATATACGATAGCAAAAAGTCGAAACTAAAACCAAACAGACTGAAATTGGAAAATGAAACTGAACCGAACTTTCGTCGGTAGATTCTGGTAAAATAGAATTGTAAATAAGTGAAATCGATGGAATAAAATCGTTCCGATTCAATGGGGTCATGGTATTTGAAAAATGAAACAAAATCGACAAAAACAATTGTGGTTTCATTTATCAAGTGTGTATAGAGTCCAACATACGGTTTTTTTCTCTTTCTTTCTTCTTATTTTACTACTACATATGTTATGGTCCTATTCAAGCGATACAATGCGATTTACACTATTTGTAAGATGAAGAAGAAAGAAAAATTCATTTTGATACTTGCGTTTAGATCGTTTTTTTTTTGCTGTTGTTCGTCGTTTCAGTTTAACTGAATCACTCTATCTGTAACACACAGACGATTTTCATTGTGATGCAATCAAGTCGAAATATAATGAAATGTGGACCAAAAATGAAACGAATCAAGCCAATTTTTTCTTCAC